TATATATTTATTTATAATGTATGTATATATATATATATATACATCCGTATATATATATATATATCTATCGAGTATATATATAGAGAGAGAGATATCGAGTGTATATATAAATACATCAAGTCATTATCCGGATCCCGTAATCAAACGAGCACACAGTCACTCACATGGTCGCTGAGGAACGATGGAGGGCGACGATCCTCCGCTGCTGCATGGATTTCCGATAGTACGAGTTTAATGGGACATAAATATGTACGACATCAATACTGCTCGATTACTTCATGATTCCCTTCTTTCTTCTTCAGCCTACTACCGGTACCGTACTGCACGGTACTGTTCACAACTGCTCGCCTGATGAGTTTCGTATCCCCGTCGCCCAGGAGCGGTGCGAGCTGCTGCCAAGTAGGCGCAGAGACGCGTTAAGGGCCTTGATACTTTCTTGGTCTTCATGGCTACGCTGTATGCACTACCGGTACAGTATTACTGAAGTACGTAGTACGACAACTATCAGAAACGCTGCAAACAAGCCAGACAGACCCGCGTTCCACGGCCTTCAACCCAGGCCAAATCAAACCACCGATTCCGACTTCGTCACAGGCCAACCAACCCATCCACCGTCCGAACAACTGTTCAAACCGGAGTGAATTCATCTGATGTCGGGATCGTCGAAGTTCCAATGCCATGCCATGCCTTGTCTTGCCACCCGAGAGACACTCTGTTTGCTCGCGGGGGTGTGGTATGCCGGTTCCGGCCTCTGATTGGGGCCCGCCCTGGGAATTTCTCTGATTTGTTTTGGGTTTTTATATTTTCCTTTTTCCTTTTTATTTGATTTTATTTTCCTTGTTCCTGCATTTTTGCCATCAAGAGCCAGGAACCATTCTCCTCTCGCTTAGGAATGCCGGCGCCAGGAGAAGTTGCCCAGCCAGCCGGCCAGCCGGGCTATCCAGCTATCCAGCTAGCCATCCACCCATCCACCCAACCAGCTCCAGACGAAGAAATACGAACACGGACGAACACTGCTGACATTGACAACCCGACAACCCGACAACCTGACCTCCTCCTCTGCAACCTCGACCCCGACAACCTCATCGTCGGTGTCAACAAATCCGTAACACCCGACCTGTCCGCTGCCGACACCGAGACCCTTCCGGTAATCTGGCCATTACTGTACAGTACCGGTAGATTACATTACTCCGTGTTTACTTCTGCCCGCGCGCGCATCATCCTCAGCCGCCCCTGGCCTCTGCGCTCGGGATGTACGTTTAGACTTTCGAGATCCGCACGATCTAATTTGCGCCAAGGTGAGACGAGACGGCGGGGTGGATGATGAGAGGGAAGTCTCGATTCTCGTCTCGTCTCCACTCTTGGCGGACATGACAGACCGGATATGACAGATAGAATAAGACATGACGAAACCGGCGACCGGACTCTACCCGGTGATGAGGGCGCATTTTCCAAACCTCATTGGTGAGATTCTGGGTTTCATGACAACGACCATGACGACAACGACCACAACAATTACAACAACAATCACAACAACAACAACAACAACAGCGATAATCACTGACGACCACGAGTCGACGAGGACCAAACCTTCAGCTTGGCTTATTAATCTTCTTCTTACTCCCCCCCTTATGATTACATGTCGAAGGTACGTACGTAGTAGTACGTAGTATGCTTTGCATGAGATCTAACCAGGTTCTCAACCGATCAACTTACTACGTACAATATAAGTAAGGATTCATTCAGCCTTGCAAAGTATCTTTGAGCCAGTATATAGTCTGTGCAATGGACGTGACAGGGCTTTAAGCTATGCAGAAATCACCGCTCTACGACTTACTACGTATGAAGTTAAACTGGGTCCGACATTGATTCATGGGAAAGGTACGTAGTAGGTACCGGTAGTGAGTGACACTTGAGGCTTCGTACCAGTACTTCTCGCTCGATTCTTTTCTCAAGCACGCCCGACCATATACTACTAGTAGTAGTCGTACTACTGTCCCTAGTCCATACCATAGTACAGACGATAATGGCGTTTCAGAGTCAAATATCAGCTTTGCTTATTCTCTTGTGCCTCGACCACCTCGTGGTCCTTCGTCCGGTCGATGCCTGAACATGTTTCGTCTGATACTGCTGGCAGCTGCCGGCCGAGCTACTCCCAGGCCCCGCCCCGAACTGCCCAGACCTCCTCCCATCCCTCCCCTTACCTCGAGTTATCCTTGCTTACCAAGTACTACGTACTACGTACAACGATCAACCACCATCAATCCATAAGACTGTGTGCAGAAGAATACTCCGTAAATCTCCAGTCCTCTCTCTCCCCGGCCGCGATTCTCCGGCAGGTACCCGATGATCATCCACCGCTTCTCCTCCTCGCTTCATCTCGCCTCGCCGCAGCATCTGAGGTGAGACCTCCCACCGCCAACCACCCCCCCCCTCCCCCCTGCCATGCGCCGCTTGTCGGACGAGGAGAACCAACCGAGAGAACACGAACGAACGTCCTCTTACAGCTTCCCCTCCTCCCCCTCGATCTCACCTTCCTCATCCCTCCACCAACGATCCATCATCACGCACCACTCCAGCTAGCCAGCCAGCCAGCCGGTCAGTCGGTCAGTCAGTCAGTCAGTCAGTCAGTCAGTCAGTCAGTCAGTCAGTCAGTCAGTCAGTCAGGCTTCCCAACATTCCCGTCCAACTCGGCGCTCAGCTTCTCACGTGGCACATCTCTTCCTCCCTCTCAGCACCCCCCATCCATTCATCCACTCATCCACTCATCCATCGCTCCTCACCGCTCCACCTCCTTCAAATTCCAAACACGGCCGTACGTCAGCAAAGTACGAGGGAAGTCAGAAGTAAGTCGAAATCAGGGTGCAAGTAAAGGTTGTGGTGTGTCATGCCTCAAGCCCCGGGTCGCACCAGAAGAGTCAGTCGCACATGGTGGTACTTGCTCTAGATCTCCCTCTACCGCCTTCCACGGCATTGGGAGGCGTTCTGGAGACGAGGGACTGCGATAAGATACAGAGAAGACACACAAAAGAAGAGATGCAGATGAGATACAAAGATGAGACACCGAAACGAGATGCAGAGATGTGGTGTCCCCGCGATCGAGGCAACCCCAGACGTCGTGGCTGCTCTTGAAAATCCGGTTGAGCGTCGTACCTACCCCCGGGGAGCCGACGTCCGGTTATAGCTCTCTATCTCTGCGTGTAACGAGACGGTTGGGGATCTGTTCAAAAATTTGTGAGCGATGTACAGCAGGACGTTCAAGTTCAATTGCTAGCGGCATCGAGGCATAAGGTAGGTGAGAAGTGATAAGTATCGTAGCAACGCTGTGTTTGTTTTGTTTCTTTGTGTTTCCATCATGTACTCCATCCGGTGCTCAATTGCTGACTAATTGCATCGTATTCGAAGTATGCAAGCACGATAGCTAGCTAGCTAACTTTCTTGGAGTAACGATCACTTTTGTCACTTCCATCCACCGGTCGGATCAGCTTGTTCAGATCTCCACCTCATGCTGAAGCCATCTATCTATCTAATTGTGCAAGCAGCGGCCGAATACACACACACATATACAAACAAACGAATAAACAAATAGTATCACGCTACAGCAATCAACCCACAACGCGCAAGCTCGAGATCACACACATACACGTCTCTCTCTTTCTCTCTCTCTCTCCTTCTATGCTTTCCCCACTCTCCATCTCCCTCTCCTCCTTCTTCCCACGGTTCTGTCTTCCCCTTCCCCTTCCCCTCCTACGTCTCTTCTCTCGTGGTCAGTCGTCTTCCTTCCTTCCTAGCTACGTTTTATTTATTTACATTTACATTCACGACTACGTTTTCGTTCTAAGCATGCTTGCATTCACTAACCAGCAACAACTTCCTCCATTATACACTAGAGCTCATCGTCAACGAAGGTGGATATTAACGCGAACAACGGATGAGCTCTAGTGCACAATTGACGAGCCATCCCCTCTTCACTGACCAAGTGACAGGCAACCATACACACACATATATTTATCGCGAAAGTATACGGGTGCTCATCTCACTCTACTCTCTCCTCTTCTTCTTGAATCCCTTCCTTTAGCCCCGGAAGTTGGAACCGAAACCGAACACGTTTTACTGGGTTTGACAGGCCTCTAGTTGAGTAGGCAGTTATCTACTTCTGGTTTAATTTGGAATTCAGGTGTAGATGGGTGTTATTGTTTAGGTATGTGTGTATCTATATGCGGAAGTATCGATATCTTGTGTATATATATATATATATGTATATATGCATTTTCTCCTGAAATAGCCTTAGATCGCCCTAGATCTAGATAGAGAGAAGAGAGAAGGGGAAAAAGAAGAAGAATATTGATTTTCGCATTTATGAATCATGTACATCTCTTCTCTACTTCACAACGTCCATTATACAGATCCGATTAATTGATCACATCCTTTTCTTTTCGAAAAAGGATGGGGGGAGGGGAGGGGGTGGGGGGCCGCTCGGTCTCGGTATCGATAAAATTTTTTTTTTCCTTCTTTTTCGATTCAAATAACATCAATGAGTAATGTGACTCACTCTTATTTGTTTCTTTTTTTTTTTTTAAAAAAAAAAAAAGAAAGAAAAAATAAAAAAAAACCTTTCAAGGAACAGACGAAGGAAATCAAATCAATGAATCGATTTGGTAAAGCAATGAATGAATGAATGGTCTGTGAAGCTTCCCCCGCCTCCCGTCTCTCCCCGTCTTCGTCCTCTTACCGGTACGGTACTTACCGGTATTTGCACTGTTTAATTTACGGCTCGAAACGGATCTCTCGTTTAAGCGAAAAAAATAAATAAATAAATAAATAAATAAATAAATAAATAAATAAATAAATAAATAAATAAATAAATAAATAAATAAATAAATAAATAAATAAATAAATAAATAAATAAATAAATAAATAAATAAATAAATAAATAAATAAATAAATAAATAAATAAATAAATAAATAAATAAATAAATAAATAAATAGATTAAGTAGATTAATGCGAGATATGTAGATATATAAGTGTGTGTATATGTGTGTATGTGTATATGTGTATGTGTGTGTATGTGTGTATATCCTTTAACTGTTCTCAGCCTTTCTTCGTGGAAGCGGTCGCTGGCTGACTAGGTGAATCTTTCACAAGCTACGAAAAAAATAATGATATCAAATTAATTTTTTTTTTTTTTTTTTTTTTCATCTACGTATGAAAGCCCGCGGCCGAGGAACCAAACGTATTAAATGGAGCGGGACGGGATACACCCAGAAAACTCGCGACACCCCTCCCCCCAAAAAATTTTCTTTTCCTTTTTTTTTGGGGGGCCCTTTTTAAGATCGATAGAGGGGGAGAGGGAACGAAAAAGGAATAGAAGAAAGGAATAGAAGAAAGAAAGAAAGAAAGAAAGAAAGAAAGAAAAAGGAAAAAAGGATAGGATAGGGAAAAAAAAAGGGAACCGGTTATTGTATATCTATCGTCGCTATTCCTGTACGAGACAAGATGCACTGATGATGAATGAGGTGACTGATTGATTGATTGATTAATAGATTCCTAGCTAGATATATATATATATATACATAAATGTAACTAATTGTTCTATTCTTATACTACATTACATTACATTAAATCAAAGCAGGAGAAGGCAAAGCGGTGCTCTTAGTACCTGTTAGTTAGTTAGGTAGCTAGGTACCTTTTGGAAACTACCTATCAGCGGCCGCTGTTTGATTAGATAGGTAGGTACCTACGCACATGTTAGTTAGCATAGCCCGCGGAAGAGGCTACATCGTATGCCTCCCTTTAATAATATACATACATATATATATATATTTCTATATTTCTATTTTCTTTCTATACTATCGCACTCTGAGTTCGAGTATTTTTTTTTTCCTCTCTGTGATACCTAGGATAGTCAGTGCGCCCGCCGCCTTTTTTTTACCCGCGGGCTTTCTCGGTAATGATAGTTCTGGGTAGGCAAGTAGGTAGGTACCGGTAGGTATCCTACGGTACGTCAAGCAGGTGTCCTAGGTACAGTACCTACTGCAGCTTCAGATAAGATAAGCCTTTCTATACGGAGGAAATTCGCTTACAACTCTATCGCGTTTGCGACAAGTACTATTATTTTTTCTTTCTTTTTTTCTTTCTTTTTGTTTTTAATATCTATCTCATTATACTTTCCGCGATGCGAAAAACGCGCTCTGGTACCGGTAGATCCTGCGGTTGTTAAATTGTTACGGCCGCTGTGCTATTAGAAAACAGAATGTGATCGCGCTTTTTAAACAGTGCGCGGATCAAGCTTTAAAGGATATAGAAACCGATAACGAAAAGAAAAGAAAGAAATGGGGCGATCGAAATATGAAATTTTGCTTTTACGTTGATACGGATATTCGAAATTTAATTTTTTTTGAAAAAAAAAAATTAAATAAAATAAAATAAAAGCTGCTTTACGGAAAGCTCGTATATCGAGTTAAAAAAAGGATGCGCGCGCGACCTTAAAATATATTAGTTTAATCGATTATAGAAAAACAATTCCATTCTATTGTAAAAGCTCAAAAAAGAAGAAGAAAAAAAAGCGATCCGATGATACCGCTATAAGCACCTCAGATTGAAAAGCCACACTCTTAATAGCACGCGTCAAAATCTAATCACTCAAGGGTTCTAAACATTTTTTTTTTTTTTCCCCATCTTCAACTATCATCACGCACGCTCTTAACGTCGTACAAAAAAACCACCGCCTTTTTTTTTTTTTTTTTTTTTTTTTTTTTTTTTTTTTCCCTTCGCATGATAGGTAGGTACCTTAGGTAGATGAACCCTGCATGAAAAACTAGCTGAGACCGCAACCCCCTATCCCCCCCCCCCGACCTTCACTCATTCATTCATACATACTACTGTACTAGGTAGTATATCCACGACCAAGCCCATCACCGAGCGCGCTAGCCCCGCACCGCACTACCGAGGAGGAAAACACAGAGAAAACAGTTCGACAAGTCGCCCACGGGACACGAAACCGGTCTTGGAAGCCAGCGGTCGACGACGAGGCGCGCGGAGATCTTTATCAATTGATCGTGGATCGAGCGAGAACTTGATGACGGGAGGAGGAGGAGGCACTTGCTGTGATCGAGGACGCTCGCGGAGCGGAACGCGCAGAGGGCACTGGGAATTTCGTGTTTCATGATGTGGTTTTCATAGCTGGAAGAGATGGATTGGAGAGAGGACCGGGGAGGGAGGGAGGTACCGTAGCTGGCTGTTATTTGTTTTCTTGCTTGGGCTTGATCTCTTCTTGGATGGGAATTGGCGATTCGCTTGTGACATGGCTGAATTGTAGCGGAGTTCCGCAATTCGAGGCTGGGTAGATGTGGTCTCGTTGGAAAAGCTCGGGTGTGGAGTCAAATGCAACAAAGTCGGTTGATTTTGTTCGAGGGAATGCCGACTTTGCTTATCTATCATAGTTGTTAAAATACGTTGCGTTATGCCTTTTTGGGGTATATAAAATGCTAGTCTTTTCGGTGTTCTGAGTATTTGTAATAGCACACTTGCTTAACCTGGGACACTTGCTTGTCCTGACTGTTATCGACAGCCCGCAGGTAAAAGTCATCGCACTGACTATGATAGGAGTTTTTTCTTTCTGGAGGGGGGGGGGATCAAGGCTGTGACTTGGTATCAAAGTGTCAAGGTTCAGGTTCCCCTCGACTCTCGCGGAGGCAACACACTACCGGTACCTGCGCTTGTCCGATCTGCGCCGTGGAGATGTCCCGTCCTGGGTTGGCTTGGCATCAGAGGTTAAGTGATCGCATCTGGCAAACATACAACTCACTAATTATCAGCTGGGAGAGAGAGAGAGAGAGAGAGAGCATTCTGGATGGCGACGATAACATCCACTCGATGCTTACTTAGCTGGTCTTGTCTTTCCGATTTTGACAAGCCTGCTGCTCAAGCAAATGAAAGAAAAAAAAAGGCATGGGCCGAAAAACTTCTTATTCTTTATAATTGGGTTTGATAGAGCGACAGAGAGTAAGCTGTATGCTTTTCTCCTGAGTCATATACGCGTATACGTAGTACTACGTCCCAGGCGCAAGTATTACCCCTTGAGGATGGGGTAACCAGGGGGTTTATAGTGGGAACTCAACTTTTGAGGCACCCTCGAGAGGTAATACTTAGGCCTGTACCGTGGTAGATCCCGTAAGTCGTTCGAGCTGCGAATACGATGTACGTTGGTGTAGACAGAGCAGATGGTGATGATGAAATCAGCCTTCCCCCCCATATTTTCTTTATCAATTCACGGCTGGACGTTTCATATATATGCCGATAAGCATGCTCGCATGAGCGTCCGTTCCCTTCCCTTTCCATTCCCTTTCCATGGCCTATCATGCGTCATAGGAATAACTCTACCGGGTGCGGAATGCTAAGCATCCGCCAAACAGCCGGGATGGCGAGGCCATCCCGACACGGTCGAGATCAGCTTTGTTCAAGAGCGGTTCAAAGACAAGAACAAGCATAAATAGACTACATAAGTAGACATATATGTTTGAATATTGAACTGATCTGCTTTGGAGATCAGCTCACTACTCCATCATATACCTATTTATGTATTATATTTTGGCCGGTCTTCGAAAGACCTTCTGACACGGCCCCTGGTATATAGATGCCTGGCTAGGCCGGCTCACCACGGATCTGATATCCCAAGCCGTACCATACAAGCGTGTGGGTACGGGCGCATCGATCAGCCCGAACTCCTTACCCGCTTTCGTTTCAGCGCCGTGGGGTAATCACAAGTGGACCGCAACGTTCTCGTTGATGAAGTCGGAGATCCTGCAGACTTTGTGAGTGCCAGGTGCATACACAGCCCATAGGCAGGGGAGAACGTACCCAAAGAGTCCAAAGCACGAGATGACAGCAGCGCCACCAAACGCAATCGATACAAGGTACAGCTCCGGGAAAGCGCCCTTGTACAGATTGTGGCCGGCTTCCTGGATGGCGGCAATCTTGGCCGGATCCGTGATGTTAAAGTGGTCTGCATACGCGGAGAATGGGCCGGCAGACAGAGTAGTGATGAGTTCCGCGACGTCTGCTTGAGCGTCCAAGCCGGGGGTGAAACCGTTGAGGATGGCGGGGAGGTAGAAGATCCGGAGATCGTGCGATGCAAGGTCTGCGATGTGCTTGTGGAACAGGTTGTAGAACATGGAGACGCCGATGACTTGGCCGATGGAACGGATCACAATCGACAGCGCGATTGAGGTTCCGATCAATTCATCGGGACTGATGATGGAGAAGACGACTTGACTGGGAAGAAGGACACCACCCACTCCAATGAGACCAATGACGAGTGGTGCCCATGCCGTGTTGATGTTTTCAGGGTTGATGGCAGCCATAGAGCCGAGGCCTGAGTTTTTTGTCAGTCATGGGTGTGAGGAATCAGGACGAGGTGGTACTCACCAGCGGTTTGCATGATGCAGAAGAAGAGGAGCACGAAGTGGATTTTTTTCTTGAAGGCCGTCATCAAGGCGGCACTGATGATGGCGCCTCCGGTAATACAGAAACCGATGGGCAGAAGATAGATTCCGGCATCTCGGAAAGATGCTCCATATACCGTGTAGACCTGGATGATCCAGAAAACGACAACGGGAATGAAGTTGACTCCGGCTGTCAGGCAGAGAAAGCAGATCACCCAGAAGAGGCGCGGATGCTGAATCAATGTACCCGGGAACAGTGGATATTTGACGAAGAACTTCTCGTAGACGACAAAGATGACCAAGAGGGCGAGGCCCACCGTCAGACAGGCAATAACATGAGCCGAGTGCCACGGGTATGGCTGGTTTCCCCAATTCAGGCCGACCAGGAAGATCGTGACGCCGGAAATGGAAAGGAAAGCACCAATCCAGTCGAGGCGCTTGAGGACGTCCATCTTGCTCAAACCCAGAGAGTTGATACGTGGGGGTGGCTTGTACCAGATAGCAAGAATGACGAAGCCGATGATGGCTAAGCCGCCGATAACAATGGGAACGTAGCGCCAGCTTGCCTCGGTGAGAAGTTGTCCGTAGAGGGAGGCCGGTGCGAAGGGTATGAAGCCCATGACGATGTAGCCAATCGTGATACCGCGTTGGGAGATGGGAACAAGCTCAGTGACAGCGGCGATAGATGTGAGCAGTTGGATTCCGATGCCCATTCCGGATATGACCATAGCACCGATGGCACCAGCAATGTTTTGGGTCGTGCCTAACAGGATCATGGATATGACCGTGAGGAACAGACTAAAGAGGGTTGTGCTCTTACGACCCAGCAAATCCACCAGAGGCCCAACGAAGGGAACGGTGGAACCGATCGCAATGAATTGAGTGACGAGGAGCCAGATGGCAAGCTCGCCAGCGCCCAAGTCGTAGGCAATGACGGTGAAGAGGGTGATCAGGAACAGCGGGATCACTTCAGCAACCACGAATGTGATACTGAAACCCGCCATGGTCATCACGAGGCCGAGAGTTCGCTGGACTGGTCATCAGAGACGCCGAGATAGATAGAATACCGCATTGCAAATTTACATACCTTGTTCTGAATCGTCGAGGCAGTGTTCGCCGGAGCCAAGATATCTTCGCTTTCCAATTTCGAAAGGCCCATATCGCCATGGTGAGTAGCACTCGTTGGCGAGTATGGAGTGGCGTCGTTTGCCTTCTCCTCGTCAGAGTTGAGCCGCTCTGCTGCTTGCATCCTGAGCGATTGGGTAGGTAGGTAGGCAGGGAGGCAGGGAGATTTGGGGGTATCTGGAGCTCCTTGGGTATTGATTGATATTTGTTGAGGTGTAAAAGGAGACCTCGCGTCGATCGCCACGGAGCAGAGGTTTCGAATACCGGCTGCTGGCGGGCAATTAGAAGGTCTTATCGAGGGCGATAAATCGTCTACTTTATCAACAGTCGTACTCCATCACTCATATGACCTTGATTATGACGATGATTATAACTACCTATGGGATATGGTTATACTAGTCACAACGAGTAGTCAGAGCCTCGGTCAGTCGCTCGCAGGACTAAGGTGTTAGCCGTCTGTCTTGTCAGTCTAGCTCTAGCTCTAGTTCTCGTTGGAATTCGAGTACATATAGCTAGGACTCTGAATGACTAGCCGAGTGCATTAGGTAAGTGCTAAAGTAGGTCAACTAATGCCACATTCGGATAGTCATCGAAGTAGCTCAGTACCAGGATCCCAATCGTGGCACAGCCAAGGGGCTCTCTCCGCAGCTACGGAGGCTCAGGGAGGGGTATGGGGACGTAGGGAAGCTGGGAACAGTCGAGGGGAAGGCACGTCAATCGATCAATCTGTCGAACGATCGACAGAGACGGCCCGGACGAACGGACGGATGGACGGACGGACGGGGCTTATTGGGGTTAAGCTTAAAGTCGTTTACGATATCGAATATGACGCAGCAGACTTTTGGTAATTATCTCTCAGAAACCTGGCATATAATCGAGCGATTCAACTTACAGAATCATCTTCTCAGTGCCCTGACCCTGAAGCTAAATATCCTGTCCAAGAAAGGGAGAAGACTCCATCCAATACATCAGCCGCCCTTTTGCAAGAACAACAAAGCAGGACAGCATGCGTAGAGGAAAGACGCTGAAGAACCCCAAACACCATCGCTGAAACCCGCACCACAGTCGCAAGCAGGTCATCAATCATCATCTCAAGGCGCCAAAATACGAGACCAAATAATGCTAAAATCGCAGCAAGCAGAATGGGCCCCTTTTTAGTCTTGCGAAAAAAATAAGTCCAGGCGCGTAGCATCCTCCTCTCCACCCCAGTATCACGACAACCGCTCTAATCCCAACCCCTCTCCGACATCGACCCTCGCCGACACAGATGCGCGGCATCCACCACCATGAGCACAAATGACCGCTTACGAGGCATTCGTGCATCAAGCTTAGCAAGCAGAGGATGATCGGATGAAAAGAGAAGAGCGCATCACCCGCATCTAGGTAACAGCAACGGAGCGCCGGAGCCAAGCGTGGCCTGCTGATCCGTGGAATGGGGCACACCCGTCCATGGTTAGAACGGAGTCATGCCTTCGCATAACCAGGAAAGAGGAGGCGTGAAAAGACGGCTGGGGTAGAATGGGTTGATGAGGAAATCAGATGGTTATCCTAGGAGGACTGGCAGACTTTAGTTTGGGGTTGAACGGGAGGGATACTCCAATACTAGCGATCGAGCTGGGGATGTGTGGTATTGATGGATGACTTACTTTCCCACCCCCAGTCCTTCATAACGCCAACCCAGTGCATCCGTCCCCGTACTGTGACTTCCACATCCATCTCTTCGTCTAATGGCTCGTGGATCCTCCTCCTCTCCGTCGCCGTATTGGGCGGGAAGCTGCCACTCACACTCCTCGCTCCGCGCTGCCACTTCGCACTAGAAGCCGTGTCATTCAACATTTCCGAGAAGGAGAACATGCCGTCCATGGCGAGCTCTTCTTCGAACTTCCGCTTGCTGCTTTCAGAATAGATCATCATCGACGTCGCTGGGCGCATCTTGCCTTTCTCGGCTGCATTCTTAGCGGCCTCGGCAGCGTCGCGACGAGACCAGACTTCCTGCATGACTTCCCAGCAGCGGTCGATGTTACCGATCCACATTCGGGATGCCATTGATTGCCAACGCTCTTCAACCCACTGTCGGTCTTCGTTGTCGTAGGCTTCACAACCAGCTGCCAAGAGGGGATAAATTTGCACGATCACTAGCCTGGAGCTGAGGGGCACAGTAGCGAGATAAACGAGAACCTTTTTGGCAAGTTGGGCAGATGTCCAGGATGGAATCTCGGGCACTGCTTGATGGAGGTAGAGGAGTGTTGAGTAGCGATAAGCCTCTGCTGTTTGAAGTGCATGTTGAATCTCTGATGTTGGGTCTTCCGGTCTCTCGATTTCTAGCAACGGAGGCGGTGACCATTGAACAATAGCCTCCTTCAACTCCATCGCCTGGCTAATGATTGCAATAGAATTTGACTTGACTCTCCGTACCTTGCGACAAAGATTGGCCACGCGACCGATTAGAGGAAATAGAGACGAAGCACAGCCCATGAGCGGATCGATTTCGTTGCTGTGAAAAGGCCCATTAAGAGGCGCAAGAACGTCTTCGAAGCCATTGGAGTCGTCTTCTTCCACAGAGGTCAGGCGAGCAATAACGTCCATGTAGACCCAAGTATTGCATAGAAACCGTAAGCGAGCGAAGTCGTCTCCTGACACATTACTCTTCCTTTGCGAAGCAAGCGCTTGCTTTACCAAGATCCTCGCTCCGCGCAGGTGTTCGATCCCAGTAGAGATGTGTTGATCCCATGACTCTGAGAAAGCCAGAACCAGTGTCGTAGCCAATGCTGTGTCTGTCCTCATCTTCTCAATATTAGTGGCCAGAGACCGGATACTCTTCCTCATGTGTTCCATCCCATCCACTCTTAGTGCAGGCTTCTCCTTCGAGGTATGGAACGCAGTTAGGGATGCAATGGCATGGTACAAAGCGGGTGACTCCCTTGCCAGAGGCCATATCAAAGTTCTCCAAGGATTCTCGGTTGGCCCATCCTTGACTGACAAGATCCCACAAGTCTGTTTATCGAATCTGAGCATGAGCATTTCTGCGCTCCCAGCTAGCACCTCCGGTTGGCGGTAGATCTTGTTGTTAGGGTCGTCTTGGGGGATGGTCGGCGACGTGGTTGATGATCTCGAATGTACCGGATTCCGCACCATCCACATATCTGCCTCTGACACCCGTGGCACCCTGATAATCTCTTCAACATCATCGTCTAATGGATCCATGGTGAAAAGGCTGTGATCCATTAATAGAGACGGTCCCATGATCGGAGTTGTATTTGTCGTCGAAGGTGGCATAGTGACTGTTCCCCGTCTAGGACTGAGCTCCGACCCTGGCAACAGCAAATCTATTATACTCGGAGACTGCCCGGAGAAGCTCGGTCTTGATGTATCTGGTGGTGCAGAGTCATCGAACAAGCTGCTCAGGCTCCTTGCTATACAGTCTGCTTCAAATCGAGGGCGGGGTAGCTCTCCCATATATGGAGGAGGGCTCATGTCAAAAATAGGAGCATGGTCGACATCCAGGTTCGGAGGACCGAAAATCGGTGGTGGTGTGAATGAAGGAGATGGAATTGTCGGCGCCGCAGCCTGGAAGAAAGACTCCTGCATAGAAACATCTGGCTCAGCGCCGGGCGTTGACGTGGTGGATGCATCGGAGGGACTTGGAGCTGGCTCGGGTTGTGGGTCGTTGTTTGATACTACAGCATCTGCAAATAACCCGCAAAGAATCAGCCATGGTGTACTCGCGAGTATGAAATGCGGAATGGTCGTACTTCTATTTGGCCGTGGAGGGGCGACTTTGGTATTGAAGGTTGTCTCTTCAAATGGCCTCCACTTGAAATCTTTCTTGTATCCTCCACAAGTTACGCTTCGCTTATGACACTGTTGGCAGGACGGCTTCGTCTCGTCGCATTTTAATCGTTTTGCTTTGCATGTTATACATCCTGAAAGTGTTGGTTAGCCCGTCTTTGGTAAGGACCCCTCATGCACACGCAGCGCTCTTTCAGCTCTAGCTTATCCACTCCGAATCCTGAACCCCCTTCCCTTGGGACCCTTGGGGAATTGTCGACAGAGACAACGGTTTCTCGAAAATCCATGCGGTAAGGCAAAGGCAAGCTCTGCCAAATAGTTGCCATTGCCCTCGTGTCCGGACAGTCCAAGGCATTTTCAGCCTCCCCACTCCCAGCCCCAGTCCCAGTCCCAGTCCCAGTCCCAGTCCCACTTCCACTCCCACTCCCACTCCCACTCCCAAACTTCTTCCACCGTTCGTGGATCGCAAGATAAGCGCCTAGTAGAAAGGTGGGGGGTAAGAAATGAGAACCTACCATTGCGACTCTTGGATTGCTTTGGCTTCACAACACCACTTAGTTTTTTGCCATTCGTGGTTGTCTTGTTGGTAGCAGCTGGCCTGCGTTTCAGAGGGGGAGGGGGAAGGGGAGGAGGTTCCGGAGCTGGTTTCAGCACGGGCGAAGCCAGGAAGGCCGTAGGCGACGGGATGGTAATCGTTTCCATCGTTCCAGCTGCAGTTCCCTCTGGCCTTGGACGTGTTGGTGTGCAGAAGACATCCACAAAGCGGCTTTCGAGTACCCAGATACAGGTACAGAAATAGAAATAGAAATCGAAATAAAAATAGAAGTAGAAGCAGAAGCAGAAGCAGAGACAGAGACAGAAATAGAGATGGAAGCCGAAACCGAAACCGAATGCCTTGCTTGATTCTCTTGATAGGAAGAAATTTTCAATGATGGAAGAAGATGCTGTTGAAATTCGGGGAAAGTGTTCAAGTGCTGGCGCAAGACTGGGTGGGGATATTCATCCCGGCGCGCCCGCTTATCAGCTGCCAACAGGCTGATAAGCCGCCCTGGCATTGTGTTCATTACCGATACCGGTACTTATCGCATTCTTCTCTCCCAAGCTGGCTTGGGGTTATCTTGTATTATTCCCCCAAATAGTAACAACAACTTACCCCCCAGAAAGAAAAGCAGGTTAAAAGCCACATGGTCAAGTATTGCCACCATCGAGACACGGACTTCTCGATCCGGTATGGGAGGTTGTTGCTTATCATTACCCTTCTGTGACTACAGTCACGTCCCTATTACCAAAACTCCTGATCGTGTGTCCATCGCTGCTGGCTGGCACTCTCTGTACCAGGTACCGGTACCGTATACGTGTTGATCGATCTCTTGATCGATCCCGTGATTCGTGGGAGGGCTTTCCGGATCCCGTCCGCCTTCTTATCTGCCATCTACCACCTATTACCGGTATGTGGGCATGGCTGCGCTACGACTCCGTAGGCGAGAAATCGGCCTGAAGATCACAACGCGGGCGAGAGCCAGTGAGTTGCTGAGGCATGAACATGTACGGAGACGTTGAATGGTCTCCAATAATTCGAGATGAAGCATTACTTCGGGAACGTCTGTACAACCTCATGTGGCAGCGCAGATGACAAGTCCATGCCGTGGCGTGAGAGGTATGCTTATCAAGAGAGGGCTTGACAGGATGGGAAACGTCTCTTCCAATTATTCATGGAAAGCCTGTGTCTTAGCGAGGGAGATCAAAACATCTGAAGGCACCTTGCTGCCGCCGAGTACAATTGGGCCAACAAGGGCCAATGTCAACAACACTGATCGCCATCACATCAGCGCAAACTCGCATCCCGACACCGCCCAGGAGTCAGGACGCGACTTTATACACCGAACCTGTTTTGGCGCACCATTAATACTTGCAGAGTGCGATGATGCACGGCTCGGGGACAGTATACTACCGGTATTTCTGTTGGATAAGATCAAAAAGGACCATCTCAGAGCTATGGGCTATCTCCTGATGGTCAGGAAGGAAAGTCAATGTCTTGTTACTACTTATCATGAAGAAAGGCTGATCGCTCTCGGACATGAATGATGCTATCAATCAAACCATAGACAGGTAGTTCCGTATCTAATGAACCGCGAACAGATAACCAACTAACGTAATCAATTAACTAAGCAGAGACCTAATTAGCTAAGTAGCTAATGAACTAAGTAACTACTACTAACTACAGTAATGGACTAAACTATCAGTCTCAGCCACACCTCCTCCCAATCTCGTTATAGCATAGCCTGGGCAAAAAGGCAAAAAGCCAAATTCCATCCTCTTTTGTTTTCTAGAACACTTCCCCCAAGCCCGATTGGGATCCACCGGGCCGACGATCAAGTTCGCGCGAAAAGTCCACTCGGGCTTGATTGGTTCTGGCGAGACCCCTGATGCTCTGGATAACCTTGTTTTGGCGGTACTGTGCGAGAATACACTACTGGTATACGGAGAATACTGTACGTACAGAACATGCGACGCCCGGACAACAACAAGCCACTGGCATAATGACTTCTGCCCTGCTTTCCTCATATGCGACGATTGCTACTTATACGGCTTCTCCTGTGTCGTCGACATCGTCGTCGTTCTCATTCTCCTCATCCTCCTCCTCCTCCTCCTCCTCCTCATCCTCGCTCAAGCGAAGCGGCTGGGCACCAGACCTAGCCAACCTTCATCTGAAACCCTTCACACACCCGCTCCTGGACCGCCTCAGATTGAAAGCGTCTTAGCCAGCTCCCAATTTACAATCTTTACCGGGAGTGGTCCACCCGCAAGCATCGTTTCCACAAGTTAGTTATCCTCAATCCAACTCACACCCTCAATTTGCCTACCAGCAACGTTTCTCAACGGCCTTCTCTTGTATAGAGGAGTTCCGTAAGATGGAGGGCGACCGTTGTTGATTTTATCATATTCATACCGGTTGTTGGCTATTGGGAATTGCAAGGCTGGCACCATGGGCAACGAACAATCAGTGCCCGCCCCTCGAAGGCCAGCCAACAAGTTGTCGAAGCCCAGGACGAACAGCAACTGTAGTGCCAGTCTTCTCAATGCGAACCTGCGAGGCACGAAATCTGCGCCGGCGACCCGTCGCAACTCGGCGGCTACGACTAGTAGTGCTCCCGCGAAAACTCGATATAGTTTTCTGCCGCTTCCTACGGAGCTCCCACCTGAAACGGTCAAGATCCAAGAAGAGCAGATACAGAAGAAACGAAGGAGTCTGTTCAGGTCCAGGAGTTTGCAGCCGAAGAGTAAGAAGTGTGGAGAGGCAAGCGACGAGAAGGAGCCGGTCAAACCGAGTGCAGCTGAGCAGTCGCGATCGCATAGATGGTTGAGAGTATCGGGTCGGAGAGGGCATCCACAGGCTTTTGAGTCTGGGGACGCGGTCTCCGAAGCGTCAGAGGAAATGTAAGTAATCCTGCCCGCGAAAAGGAACGTAGCTAACAGGAAACAGGGAACCTCAACCACTTCGAAGGGGAACGCCACTCTCTCAGTCATATGGGCCACGCAATCCACGACTCTCGCTTGTGCCAGAAATTCCAAGTCGCGGACCTGCGCAGGCAGAGAATTCGAGCAGATTTATCCGGCATGACCAAGAGGAAGCATCAGAGCCATCAGTCACTGCAATGACAGACCCAGACACACAGCTATATGTGCCTATACGGAGGAGGTCACTACTCCAGCATGGAGTGGCAACGAGGGCCAGTAGTGCAGCAGGAACCCGCCAACGTCTGCCGCCAAAGCCAACACATCCAGAAGAGTTCAAATTTCATTGTCATCCTCAGCCTCCTCAGCCTCCTCAGCCAACCGAGTCACAACTCGCCGAACTTGCAGCACTTCAGCGTCCTCCCGAGTTCCTTGGTCCCAGAGTCGAGACTCCCACGGAACTGGACTACGGACACATTGGGGCCTTCAAGCTGGGCACACTGCGAATCATGAATGGAGCCGCGAGCCCAGAGCCGAGTCTAAGGAGAGCAGCGACCATGGGCCAAGAAGAGGATTATATCTCAGCCGGAGGAGCGAGCTGGAGCTGGGATCGAGGTCACAACCCTAGACTGAGCGGCAGAAGTAACACCATTTCGGTGCCAGCTAAAGCCCCCAAAGCGCCCTGGATTCTGCGTGCCGAGTCACCGCCTCGACAAGAAAATGAGGACTTGGGCACGTCCCAGCCCCGGGCGCCTCTTCGGGAAGCAATGACCCAAGGACAGGACTTCTCGTCTGTGACACCAAAAGTTATGTGGCGCCCCATGATGATCGACGTCCCCGACCCCGGCAGGTCATCTCTTTCATTCTTTGACTTTGGTGGTACCGACGAGTCTTGTAGACGAGCTGAGTCACCTACGAAAACTCTCGAGCTCGCCCACGAGTACCGGCAAGACCTCGCGACCAGTCCATTCTCGTTCGTCAACTCGTGTCCAGGATCTCCGGTTTTAAAATCCACTAGTAAGCACATGGCCGTGGATGACGACCTTTTTGCCGCAGAGCCATTGACTCCTGGTCTTCCAACCCGATTCCCCGGGTCCTTCGACTCGGGCTACGAAAAAATATCAGTGTCGAAGACTGGGAAGACCATCCAGGGTCCTAGGGAGTTCGTACCCAAGCCGTTAGCGAAGGCGGACAGCGGGTACAGCTCTAATGTCTCCGTGCGATCGTTCAAGAGGGAGTCCGCAACAGCAGCTCCTTCGAAGGAGTCGCTGCCAACGCCACTCAAGGATACGTTCCGGGCTGCGTCGAGTGTTGACTCGGAAGCGAGCTCCCACGCGGCGTCAAACGCGTATTCCGTCAGAAACGATATAATCCTTCGGGTCAAACGATCACTACCGGCTTTACCAGTTAAAGAGGCGTGTAGGCAACCGGGTCGACAAGCGCCCAAGGTGTCACTAAAGCCAATGCAAACCCAGATGGATGCTCCTCTCAAGCTTCGACATTACGGGTCGGACAACCGCCTTAGCTCGGCCTTATCACATCTCCTCCCACCGCGAGATACTCGTGGAAAAAAGACGCAGTCCACGCCAACCCGGTCCTCCTCCTCTCCCGGCGGTTGTACAGCAAAGGATGCAAGATATCTTCGGTCCATGCAACCACAAGCTCAATCAGGCAACCCCATCCACACAGTCCAAGCATTCCCCACTGCCAGCGAGCAGAGACAGATCCCTGCTCCAATCGAAGCCTGTCACAAGCTTGAAGAACAAGTTGACGGTTTTCCGGCAGCCATTGTGCCGAACACGCGTTCTGGTCTGACGGGAAAGTTAGGACTGAGGGGGAGCTGTAGTCAGGAGACGCTTGAAACGATCTTCTCCGTAGGAACTCTGGAGGTGAAGGGGGAACTCACCTTGGCCAGGCTGCAAGAACCTTTGCCTGCTATTCCCCAGGAGGCGACTGTTGAAGAGCAGCCAGCGAAATTTCCGTCTAGCAACGAGCGAGTCGGTAGGAGTCAATCCTACCAACATGAAAATGGGTTGAGTCAACACCCCCCTGATAAAACCGCCTACAGCAGACGCCACACTTATCAAGCACCGCCCCCAGCTTCTCCTTCATACGAGCGATCTATGGGCCGCCCTTCTGTCGCGAGACGACAGATCCAGCAGAATTCTGGAACGGATATTATGTTGATTGATGGCATTTCGAACTCCTTGGGTCAATCGCCTTACGACGATGCTCTTGCCAGTCCTCCGCGTGCCGACTTCAAACCTAAGCAGCAAGCAATCTCACAAGAAAGAGCCAAGTCAATGACAGCGCACTTCGAAGCTGAAGCCGCTGTACGTTTCGCTAATCAGCGTACCGCGAATGCGAACCCAGAATTGAGCATCAGGGCGAGAAGCTATGACTCCACTCCTCTGTCTCCCACCAGCCCGAGCCAAAACATGAGCCGACGCTCCTACGTCTCGGCAGCGGCATCTGGGCGCGTGAGATCCAGACCACCGCCCGCACACGCGAATCCCAGTCGACGCTTAAGTCCATGTCTGCAACAGTCCTTCGAACCTGCTCAAATTCATCTCCCAACCCTGGCTCAAGGACAGGAAACAGAGAAACATCATCTTTCGCGGCTCTCCGTCTTGACTACCAAAATGAACATTCCGCCACCAGTGAGCCTGACGACACAAGGGAAACTTGTGAGTGACGCGGTAGGGGGCCACACGATAACTCCAAGGTCGAGGACTCCGCCGGTTATGCCGGGGCGTGCGCCTCCTCAACCCCCAGTCGCGCAGCCTACTGCCCGGCAGCAACATCAGGGCCAGCAATGGACACAGCCAGCTTCTGATTTGAGAGGGTGTAGAAACTCCGCAGGTGAAGCTCTTTGGGTGCAGGAGCACGAGAACATAGAACCCCCTCTGCAATCTCCCCAGCCAGGTTTGCGCTGTCTTAAGAGCATGGGTGCATACACTTACCGGGAGCAATCTCGATCGTCGAATAACCACTACAGGAACGTTGATGCGAGTCAAGGCAAGGGATGGGATGTGGGTGTGGGTGTGGGCTATGAGTACGGACATGGAAGCGAGAATCTGGCCCCAACATGGGTTGATAGCTCTCTCCGCACCACTAACCACACCCCTCGCCCGCAATACCAACAGCAAACCTCAAACCCGCAGCAGGAGTACGACCACTCTTACGGCTTGCCCGCTCCCGCGCCTGACAACAAGGAGAAGGAATACTATGCCTCGTCCTCCGCTCACGAGCAGCATAACCACCTCTCTGAGGCGTATCATCAACGGAGGACTTCCACATCAGACATGCTTGTCCTAGATCGATACACAGGGGTCTCGACTACGGGTATGAAGCTGGGTGCAGGCTTGGGGGCAGTGCAGGCATGAGAAACACTGGACAGACGGCTACTGGTAGTCATAAAAGCGTTCCCATGAGCGGGACGCATGTGGTTGATTTTTGCGATGTGCCTGTTATTTTGCAAAGAGTTCCATTAAAGGGATAAGGTGGTGAGGGCTGGCTACAGTGGCCGTGAGAGCGGGAAGAAGTGGTACGGAGCGTGAAGCGAGAGTATGATGCAAGGGATGCAATGAGGGTAGAGGGCAGAGGCGACATTGGAAATGGAAATGGCCGGAATTGGAGGAACAGGACCTCTTTTTGGGTGGGTGGAAGGAAGTCATGCTACCATGGCATATATACCCGGTGTTTGGGGTTTGCTCTTCTTATTTGGACTTTTTGCATACTTACGGGGGGTATCTTTGCGCCACATCTAGTATTTAGCGTCACATCTGCTGCTACAGAGCACATCCTGCATACGATTTTTTTACCTCTTAATAAGCTTTGGTATAAGATAGAAACACAGATAGGAGAGGGCGGTCGGTTCCTTTGTATATAGTATGACGGGTCGGAGGCCGTTTAATATAGCCTGAAGAATAATTCGATAAAGACGGCTAGTTCATTGCCAAAAGTTCCAAACAGATCGTTGCACGTATGCAAAGGACTGCTCATGGTCCTCACAAAGCCGGCAATGAAAGGTATCTTTGGCTAAGCGGCTCGGGACGTTTGAGACCGGATTGGATGATCGTACGTACTCCTCTGATCTGCATGCCAAACAGTACCTGTCAACGTAGCGGTACCTACCAACAACCTACGGAGATACAAGGGAGGCAGCATATATACGGAGCCCTGGGATCGCCCCCTGCAGAGAGGCCCAGTGCATCAAAATAGATACAGGCTCCCGCTCCCGTGGACCGGATTTCTCTTGACGCTTTGAAAGATGAAGTCAACTTAGGAGAGCTGCAGGGCCCTCGTTTTGAATAGGATCAGTGTTCACTTCTTCCCCAAGCTCCATTTACCATCGTGACGTCACATGGCGGGGTATATATCAATCCACCCGTCCTTGCTCTTTCCTCGCTTTCAAGCTCCAACATCCGTCTCAACAACAACAACAACAACAACAACAACATCATCATCCTCATTACATTTGCACCACACTACAACAACCAACACTTCCAAACAACCATCTCCACACACAAGTACAGCCAGCAGCTATCAACATGGCTTCTAGAATCCCAACCTCGAATACCGTCACTGAGTCTGCCGTCGTCTCTGCTACATTCTCTCAAGTCTGGCACATGATCAAGTAGGTGCTAACCATTTTCCCCTCCCAATTTGAAGTATAGATTTGAAATCTCGACAGTTTTTCGTCTTGGTTTCCACTGATAATCTGAGCATCCAGGCTCGAGAACTTCGCTGATTTCTGGTCGACCTTGGCCAAGAGCGAGACCGTCAAGGGCGTCTCCCCCGACACCGACATCGTCAAGTGGACCTTCAAGGATGGCCAGGTCTTGGAGGTCAAGCAGGAAGAGCATTCCGTACGTCTACTTCTCCTTCGTCTCTCACGATTCGAAACATGAGATAAGTGCATAGGGCTTTGGGTTGCTAATAGAATTGCAGACCATCGACCACTACATCACCTACTCAGTCATCACAGCCCAACCCCAACTTACCTACTCTTCCGTCTTGAGTACCATCCGCCTGTTCCCTATCACTTCTGGTCACCACGAGGGTCAGACCTTCATTCAATGGACTGGTCACTTCTCAAGCGATGCTGATGCAGGTATGTTCACTCTCTATTATCGCTACTGTCCACACTCTTGGCTCCAGCGAGATCATACTGACCCTGTAAGGCGTTATCGAGGATGCCAAGTTCAAGCGTCGTGAAGCTTTGGCTGACCTGGCAACTGCCGTCAAGAGTGCCGCGAAGAAATAGGCGAATGTGCATCTCAAGGCCTGGATGAGTCTGTCTCGGGTGGGACTTTACGGGCTAACGTCTTTGCAATGGGGACTGGATGGATCTAGGCTTAGATGATTCTTCGGTCTAATACTAATGAAAAGCGATTACCTTCAATAAAATTTGAATATCTTGCCAATATGTGATGTGGCTTAGCGAGGGCGCTTCTCGACGGCTCACCCAGTACCTACCTTGGAACCACACGAGTAAATTGACATCTTGAAACGAGGCTGGCTAATGAATTTCGCGATAGGTGGGTAGTAGATCACGCTATATACCAGTGGTAGCTTTGTTGACAGGTTCGAAATTTCATGCACTGCTTCTTCGACATTCCCTGCTTAGAATCTCGACGCTCTGTGCCTACCTATCGAGCCGACCACCGCTGGAACAACGTTATTGACAATCAGGATGCGCCTCCTCAACGCCAACGCGATGAAGCTAAAGGAGCACTTGGTTGGAAGAACTCCCGCTTAAGCAATATTTCGCACTGCTGAGATATATCGAAGAAGTTAGTCACGTTGCAGGACCAAAATGTCAGACATGTGACGTAAAAGTGCCAGCGAAATGAGATCACACACGTTCCGATCGATATTCTCCGAGACCGTCAACTCGATGTTACTGCTTGCTGGACACGTGGAATACCCCTTTAACCCGGAGGAGGCGGCGGTACATCTTCCCCTTCCTTCCCGAAAATGATCCATCTTCCGCCGCCACCCTCGCCGTCGACTGGCTCTCCCCTGCCGGCGAAATCCCATTGCGTCGGAAGTGCTTTCTCCTCTCGCCTCATCCCGAGCTGAGACTTTCTTTTGATCTTTTTTTCCCTACGCTTTCTTTTTTTTTTTTTTTCTTGAAATTTCTAAATCTTTCTTCTGTTTGGGGTGTGGCTGATTTTGATTTGTTTCTACAAAGGCCAGTCAGTTCCCAGCCGGCGCGAGGGCGTCGGTGACGTTCAGCGGACACGGATATGAATGGTTATGTGGCAAAGTTTTTGTGCTTCGCTATCGAGGGATCGCGGTTTTGTTTATTTGATGGTTGCAATCTGTAGGCCAAAAAAAAAAAAAAATAATAATAATAATAATAATTATTAATTAAAAAAATTATATATATCTTGCCGTTGAGCGCATCGCTTTTGGTGCATGCTTTTGATTCACCAAATGCATGGCACCAGATTTCCGTCTAAGCACAATAACATTTCAGTCGAGTCTGAAGAGAGTTTCTCCGGCGGTTACCCAACACCTCATGCAACGATCCTAACAACAGGACCCAACCAAGTATCATACGCCTCCTGATCACCCTCCACGCCACCCCACCGCAGCACACTCAATAAGAACCGGTAGTCGCCTGGGCCAGTAGCAAACAGCACGTCGTTGTCCGATCGTACACTCGTCCCCATCCACAGCGTCTCGATACTAGACGGACACAACCCTCCCGTCCGATTAGTGATGGACCCGAAGCTCGGGAAGCCGAAAATCGTCGAGTTGGGAGTGACGCGAGAAGGGATGTATGTCTGATCCCGCAAGCCGCTTTGCTCGAACCCGTACCGTGACGGGACGATGCTAGTCGCTGCCGGCAAGACGTCGACGCGCAGCGACCGGCTGAACTGGAGCGTGGCTGCCGAGATGGTAGGATACGGCGGCCCGGACTCTGCGTACTCGAACGTCCCGTTGTTGACGACGACCACGTCTCCTTCTTGGCTCCAGACCCTGGGGAGGGGAAGGTCGCCCTGGTTCTGTGTGTCGATGTACGCGGCGTTGTAGACTGAGTAGGGGGCGCCTACATACGGGACGGTGTGGGATTCGCCGTCGGACGTGGCTTGGATGAAGCCACCAAAGACTGGAAGCTGTCTCTCCACTACGTTCGATGGAGGCTTCACTGTGAATCGGATAGTGCTGGACTCCCCCGATGCGAGCGTCACCTCCGAGGCTTCGAAATCCACAGTGCCGTAGTTCGCCAACTGTTGTTCCTCGCCGTCTAAGCGGACGAAGTTCGTGTAGCCGGCGCCAATATGGGACAGTGAATATGTCTTGGAACGACTTGATCTGTTCTTGATCGTGATGTTGGCACGACCCCAGTTCTGATGCTTCTCGTCGTCTCCGATCGTGATCTCCCCGGGCGACAGCTCCGTTTCCGAGAAGATGGCCCGGTAAGGGTCGATCATGCCGGACCCTTGATGTGCGGTGCTGGAGAGGATCGCCGTGTCGTTGATCCATTTCCGTGGACTGGACGTTGTCTGCAGAAGCTCGCGAATCTGATCGATGGTGTATGTTGGGAATTGGGACTTCACAAGAGCATAGGCTGCGCTTGCGAACGGCGCCGCCATTGACGTCCCAGACGTGATTCCATACCCGGAGTTCCTTCCGAGCGGCCAGGTCGCGAGGATGTTCCCCCCTGGGGCAGAGAGCTGGGGCTTGAGCTCATAGGTAAGCCAATTTGGTCCCCAGCCTGAGAAGGAATTCATGAATCCGGCAGCGTGCTGGGCGGGACTATCGAACGTCTTGCTCACGAATCTGAGCCGGTAATTAGGATAGCCACCAACGGATGCGTAAGTGGCGTTGAGCAGAGTATAGTAGGTGGCGTTGATGTTGACAACCACGGTGTCGCCGTAGGTCCCTGCTATGGGCGCACTATAATCTACACGGTGCGGATTCGTTGATGGCTGGATGAAAGTGATGACAGATTCGGGATACGTGGTCCAGTGCGTTTCGGCGCTGGAAATCTTGCAGGAGGGGCCCGACTCGAAAGCCATGATGGTACTGTTGAGATCCACGGTCTCGAAAGCGAGTGCCCATGCATCGGCATCGCAACCGGGGGAGACAATGTAAATTGATTTCCCCTGCTCGGATTCCAAAGGCCAGGTTGATGCGTACGGTATCGTCTGGTTGTTGTTATCGACAGCCGAATATACCAACGGGAATCGCGAGTTGGCAACAGAGCCAACGCTGATGGCACCCGTAGATCCTGCAGGGTAGCTCTGTGAGTACATTCCGTGTGAACCGTAATTTCCACTGGCCGCTATCACGGAGATTCCGGCGTTCTTGAGATTTGTGACTACAGACTGGTAGATATCTTCAGATAGCCAACTACTCATTCCTCCGCCGAAGGACATGCTGAGGACTGAAGGGTTTGGAGTCAGTATTTCCCCTCAAGTTAGTCGTCTAAAGCGCCAGAGGATCTGAGATGGCTGGACAGTCCTTGCACGGTATCCTGAAGAAGGACACCACTCACCATCGACACCGTCTTCCAGGGCTTTGCCCATCGCGGCCAGAACAAGATCGCTACTTGAATTGCCATTGCAGCCGAATACTCGATAGGCGTAGATAGAGGCTTCGGGTGCGACGCCGACAATATCAAAGCCTGTGTCATTCAGTGGGATCATACCCACAATGCCTGCGATACCATAAGTTCAACAAGCCCGCCTGGACACGAGATGACCACAAACCAGCTACATGAGTTCCATGTCCACCAAGTAGGCACGTAGCCAGTGGATCCGGGCTCGACGCAACCACTCCCTCATCGTCGATGAAAGAATAACCCCCCTCCACCTTGAAGCCCGGGCCAAACCCTCCACCAAGCGCGGGATGTCGGTAGTCGATGCCGGTATCGATGATTCCGATCTTGATCCCCTTTCCCTTGATGCCGAGCTCGTGGAGCTTGTCCACGCCCGTCATCTCCAGCGCCGAGAGCAAGCCACTCCCCTTGCCTGCAACAACCCGCGGCATGGAGAGGTCACCACTCGAGGGGGTGGGCTCTGTTTTGAGCGTGCTGTTCGACACGGGATCTTCGGGACGCGGGACAAAGTAGATGGGCTCGATGCTGATCACGCCCGGCAGTTCCCAGAGGGCCTGTACATTCTCGTCTTCGGTCGATCTTTGTCCGAGCGTGATCGAGAGCCCGAAGAAAACATCGGGGTTGGTGAACTCGTGGCGGACAGCGTACTCGATCGCCGCCGTGGCAGCTCGCTTGTGGAATTGCTCATGTTGATAGTTCACCGATCGCGCCGTCAGCGGAGATGGGACACTCTGGTCGAGCTGGATTACGTATGCATTCGGAATGATCGTATCTCTCAGACCCCCCTCCTCTACCGAGATGCATGCAGTTCTGAAGGCACCGAAGAACGCGACGATTCCGACGCGAAGCAACATTGACTTGACCGTGTTCAAGCTTGCATGGGACGAGTGTGAGAAGACGTTCAACATGTTTCGTGCGGTGTCACTTCTTCCTCTTTATGTACTGGCCAAGTTTACTCATCTCGCAAGCTTTGATCCTGTCATGCGTTTGGCTCCTCTTACCTGCCAGAACAGAATACGGGGGAAAAGTGACTAAAGCTACGTAAGTATAAACGAATTTTCATTCCCCACATCCAGGGCATTTAGCGAGCTCTCCGGGATGTCCGATACGTAAGTAATATTGTAGCTAGGCCGGTATAAATCGACTTGGAAGGCTTGGTCCGGGCATTGAAGAAAGTATATTTTATGGAATTCGATGCAGTGATCAATGGGGCAAAATATGTCCTATACCAACTCGTCTGTCTATTCTTTCTATCGAAATTCAGATGCGAGATCAGAGCCGCTGTCTTTTATCTGAGGAGCGTAACCATGTAATCTGACCCTGAACAATACAAACCTGAGATACAAAATTCTAGTTGCCGCGTAGGTATGTATCTAGCCGACGTTTAATTTTTAGGTTGATCAAGGAGCGCGCCCGAAATAGCTTGATTATTATCCAGACTTCGAACCTTATGCTGAATAGCTTAATTTTCCTACTAAATACGCCGCAGGGAGGGTATCGATGATCATTCAAGTATTTACCTAGAGTCTCTGAGCAGCAGCAAGCGTGCTTTAATTTCGGCTTCCACAACTAGGTAAGCCTTCATTACAAGATTAGACGAGTAGTAAAATACCATTTTATTTTCTTCCATCCAGGGGTTCGTTTTGTCGCGGCAGCTGGTAAGCTCAATTTGTACGATATCTAATAACGCGCATTATATCTTATTTATCTGGATTATTTTACTGTTTAATCGCGATCTACCTCAAAAGTAGTTACAGTTATCGGCTACCTTTAAGCTCGCTTCAGCTTGAGTTTGGCGGCTCGAGTTTGACGACTCGAGGTCTTAATGGGCCAGAGCCAAATCAGTCCAATATCAGAAATGTGCAGTGATTTCGCGTCCGGTCGATGAAACAGATAAGCCCAATGATCCCGATATTGTGAAGGGAATCAAGCTCTATATAGCTATCGTCCTGTATAAGAGGACATATATAGAGAATAGTGAGGCGGCGGAATGAGGATCGTAATGAATCGTATTCGTAAGTACGTATATTTCTGATGTCGGATGCTCAGGGAGGAACATGCACTCGTCTATATAAAGGTCTGAGCACGTAACAAAACCACGAGAGAGAACAAGGAGAAGAGCAAAACAGAAAAAGGTAGCTAGTCCCTCCAAGGCATTCCTCTCTCTCAGTGCAGAGTATCCAAAAAGTCGCTGTTTTCCTGATGATGCGTCCGTGCCTAATAATATGCCCCGAGGCAATGATAGCAACTTCAAACTTCCGCCTCGGCGTCCTGCTTTTTTATCAGCAGGTTCATCAGCTTGATACGAGGCCTTTTGAACACCTCCCTGGGCGTAAGATCCTCGTGCAAAAGTGGCTGCTTCTCGAACGAATCAAAGCATAACTCAAGATACCTTCTCGCCGACTCCATCATTATCAAAGCCCACCTCTCATACAAATCTCCATTCAGAGCAGGCCTATGAGTCCCAAGTGCTCCGATAGGCTCAGCGGAACCCTCGGAAACCTCCATCGGCTCAGTCTCTTCAAGCTCCACAAAGCTCAAGTCCCTCCTGACTAATACTCTCTTTCCGACCTCCTTATGTTGCTCAGCTTCATTGATTTTCAGGACATCGCCTGCCATATACAGGAACACTTCCTTGAGGCCGTTCAGCCTCCAAGTCATAGTAGCGAGCGAGTCTTGCAACTCCTTCCAAAATCTGCCATGGATATCCAGCGCCAGCCTCTCCAGCCGCCCATCAACACGTGACATGAAATCATCGAAACCAATCGAATTCCAGTGCCCGCTCGGCATGATCATATCGATGCTATAGTTGATGTACATCGCCGCCGGCGTCTCCTCGTAAGCGTCTTTCTCGGGCCACGTACGGGTCAGGTATTCGTGCGCATACGCTTTGAGTACCTCCTCGCGCGACAGACGACAAGTCGAGGCAAGAGTGGTGCGGATTGAGGGACTGCGAGCCGCAAGCAGGGTTTTGTAGAACTGAATATAAAAGATGTGATCATTTTTCTCGCAGCTCTTCCAGCCATTGCGGAGGTCGAGCACGCGGGGTGAGGAGTTGGCGGCCATGCGCCAGATTTTGAGCTTGAGTTCGGTGGGCAGGTCTTTGAAAGGATGGAAGGTGGTGGGAGGCCGTGAGCGTGTTGCAACGGGCTCCTGATTTGAAGCCATGGTGTTGAGCAAATAGTGTGATTCAATGCGACGTGATGCGATGGTCTTGTAGATGAGGTCAATTCGAGATGTTGGCGATGGTTTCCTCAATGTCAGGGCCTCTAACCGTCTTGCTAAAAACGCGGTGGGCTGATATTTATAAGGGTCACGTGGATTCTGCCAGTTCCGTTCCGGTGCATGATATTGAGGTAAGGCGATTGAGAATTGAGAGTCTCACGTGACGGGTCAGTGAAGTGGATTTGAGGCTGTGAACCAAGCAGGGGAAATATACGGTTTAGATGATTTAAAGCGTAGCTTAAGACAGAACCGATTTAATCAACGAAATCATTAGATCGGTGTTTCCAAGAGCCCGATTTTTGGTTAGTTGTAAGATCTTCCCAGGACCCGTTCCAAGATCGTCCCTGAAAGCTTAATTAACTAGGAAGGATATACCGGTAGATTACATTCCGTTGGATCACCTCCGTTCGAAGGGCTTAAAGGTTTTCTAACCCCTTCTATGGACGTTATTTGTTTTGGCTTGTGACGAAGTATGGTTACACCCGATCACTAGGCCTAATTTTCGCTGAACGGGTCGTTTCCGATCTTAAATCTATTAAAATATCGAGATTCAAGCCGTGGTAACGATAGATTATTCTCGATTACGATCTGGCGTTACATTTGTATAGTCCAATGACCGTCTCTTTCATATATTGATCAAAGGAGTAATATATGTCGAAATGATCCCCTATTAAGACTCGAGTCTCGAGTCTCGAGTCTCAGCAGTATCTGGTGACACTCCACTTGAAGCTGATATCTTATCATAGCGCGTATATAGAGAGACCAGTTACCATAGTAAGAACAGGCTTCACAAATTTGAATAGTAGAAGTTCGTTCATGCCAAAGTCGGGAATCCATTGCTACAAATTAAATTATCAAGTCAGATCTAAATTCAAACCCCCAGCTGCTAACAAATGCTTAAGCAGCTCCCTCCTTTGAGATGGTTAGCAAAAATGCTCATAGTGGGCAAGGAAGATAGAAAAGTGAAGGAGCATACCTTTCTCTGCCCAACGAAGAATCCCAAGCCGAATGTCTCAGTTGTGAATGTGATCTTGGATCCCTTAGGGACTGAAACATATTAGCGAAAATTTTCGATGTAGATTCTCCGTGTGTGTAGCGCCCACTCAGCTCCATCAAGCATTTCCTTGGACTCGATTGCTATTTACACAATTTCGCCGAACCAAGCACGCTCTTCAATAGAGCAGGAAGAAGACTCACAATAAAATACGTCTCCTTTCACAGCATGCACCTTCTGCCCCGTCTCATCGCTGATATCGAACTCCCCATCGACAATAATCTTCATCTCGTGGTAGGTGTACTCATACACTAGCGGGGTTCCTTTCTCCAACCTATAAAACCCTGCAGCAATGGGCGCAGTCGGGTCTGTGGAGATTGCGACGTCGCCGAGATAAGCGTTTTCATTGGCGATGAGAGGGGGCTTGAAGGCGGTTTGCGCCGCTTTGTGGTAGGTGAAGGCGGACATCTTGGGCTCAGATGAGGAGATGGGAGAGCTCTTTTTGCTGAGGAAGGAACCCATATTAGTTGTTTATTGTAATTTTGGTGAGAGATGCAAATGCGAGAGTTGGGGGGCTGACAGATGCAATGACAGACGCAGAGACTGAGGGAGGCGGGGTAGCAGATATACATACTTGTAGAGAGAGTTGCTGGAGGGAGATAGGGTGAGAAACTGCAGACCAACAGATTCGAAGTCCAGCAGGCGTTAGAGATAATGGAAATCTTTGCCTTCTAGAAACCTCTCTCTTATACCTCTTGCATAACTCACCATGCCCATGGCCAACCTACCAGTCAGTGAGCAAGTTCACGACCCCTCTAAAGTAACACAACCCTCGATCGCCGAGCCGCCTGGACTGTATTGCTACATTGGGCGTCATGTATAGCGTTCTAAGAGAAGAGAGTCAGATGGTAGTGGGCCAACATGGTCTTGTTAATCGCTGTGCCTGGATGCTTAGCTATTGCTGGAGCTTTGGATTACCTCTCTCCCCGAACCTGGCATCCGGCCACAGATGTTGACAGACTTTGCGGCTCTGCGCCACTGCTGACCGACCTATCTTAGCTAGCCGGGAACTTTTGCCTTGAAGCGGTTAAAATTTCGCTTGCGGGCGGGTGGCCCACTCATACATATGCTTCTACATCCTTACACCTAAGCTCTGGAAAACCATGCATCGCACCCGACATACTCCACAGAACATCTCGTAACTCTCTCTCTCTCAAACTTCAGCCTCAAACTGCAAGCTTTATCGTAGCATTATGAATGCATCACCATTCGAAACTCGGCATCACTGCCACTTGAATCGGGTGTTCCGGGCCTATCCGATCGTACCAATGCTTCCAGGAAAGACGTTTTCCACAGCCCAGACTACCTTCAGCACCAATTTTGTTATCCCCCTGAAACTTTGCAACCGAGCTCGTGATGATATCGTGAATATGAAGCTTATCGACCGTCGTCGAGGAGATGTTTATTGTGCCTAAAAAACCCATGTCAGACAGACATCGCTCTTGCACATCACCAGTCCAGAGGGGCGGGGGTGGAAGAGAGGTGGAATCTGGAGAAGAGGTGATTGACTTGCGAATGCCAATAATACAAATTCCGTACTACTTCTCAGTGACATTGTGTATCTCACTGGCCCCCGCCTTGTTGAGATGTTACTGCCTGCTTGTAGTCGCTTCCGCCTTCGTGCTGTTGGCAATTATCAGGCAATCATCTACGTCGGGAGCGCCGGCAGAGGTGTAGTTTTCAAGGGCACCCTATATGCACTCGCGCTTGTATTTTCTGGAAGGCCTTCTCTTTCCGGTTCGTTGCTTGAGCCTGGGCTTGATTTGGAAATCGTCAACAAATTTGATCTCTATGGGGAGTTCTCGGCGTGCCACCTTCGAGAGAGAGAAGATGGCCCAGGAGACTGTGGAAACTTTGAGTTCGATCGAAACGAGGTTGTTGAATCAGCCTATGGAACCCTATCAGGCATGTTAGTAAAGATTTCTTCAATTCTTACGAGCCGACAGATCGAAAATTCATAAATAGTCCCTCAAAGACCTGGAGAGGGGAATAACAAGCTCTGCTGACCTCAGCGCCAATACGCCCGGCACCGGTTGGATTATTTCAATTGTATTTCGCGACAGCTTGGTGGGTGACTCCCTTGACGTCCGTTCTGCCCTCTGTCGTTTGGATGATGGTTTCCGTGCCTGTTGCGTGGGGGCATTTTTAGAGTACATCTCTGTTCGGATTCTCCATTTCAATTGGTGTCGGAAAAAAGAGAAAGAAAGGTACGGTGCCAAGTGGCTGAGGTCGCTGCCTACTCTCCGGATTTGGAGTCGAATGTAAATACACCACCAGGGCCAGGGCAGGAGGAGAGCAGTAGAAGTAAATGACCAAACTCCACGAGCACACGAGCCACACTGGACCAGGACTTTATAGTTCTTGCGTTTTGTACCATACCGGATGACATGGAATAGTCATTAAAATCGTCGTTGGCCTGGCGGTCTAATACTTCGGTGATTTTTTGAACTTCGGATTATCATCGTATACGACTTGATGCTATCTGAAAGATTCTCGCCATCTGTTTGAACCTCTCTTATTGATTTCTATTCAACTAAACGCGGCAATCGATAGGTAGAATATGCAAAGATGAACACGCATAGAATCATAATTTTTCATTATTAATTTTCGTTCTTTCCGCTTTCCTAAATATAAGCGAACGTGCTATACTTTTTCAAAATAAAAACGAAAAAAACAGCAAAAACTTATATTACTGCCGCTGATCCTCAGATCTTGTTGATGCGCCCGGATAATCCATTACGCCCCATGTTACCAAGAGGAGGATATATACCGCATGCTTCCGATCATTACTCTTCGATCGTCACCCGGCGAAGGGTGCGCCCTGCTCGGCCTTGAATTTGTAAACAAGCTGGTAGTGAGAACACTCCCCAAGCAAGTCCCCTTTTCAAGCCCCGCAATTTTTACACTCCCGCGAATATGGCTTGGATGTTACTCCCAGATTAGGCTATCCAGCCCATCTACCACGATCTCAGTATGTTTTGATGAAGATACGAACGCGTTTGGGTTATATAACACAACGCGTGAATTTCGGCAGTGCGGCCGCCGCTTTGTCAATGGGTGAGGCGAAGCGGAGAGGGAGAGAGAAAGCTCTAAAGACCAGTTACGGATAAGCAATATAAGAAATATATCAGCTTGACGACGAAGTTTTTGGACGAGCTGAGCATGTTACCCAAGCTACGCATTTTGAACCTGTTATATAATGACTTCAACGATATGCCGCAGATGAACTTCAAAGGCAGCTGCTATGCCAGCTACATAAACATACCTACGTATATGCCTCAAAATATGCAGCGGATCACAGGATTTAGCTAAAGTGCGACAGCTCCGAAGGACGTCACCGATCGAAGCCATCTATCCATAAACATATATACCATATACACAACCTCAGCCAATTGTCACACTCCTGCGGTATGTATCTATCTTTTGTGCTCGTGAAGTGGTTTTGATGTGACCGGTAGAGTTGCACGAGCTGAGTCGCTGCCGCAGGAGCAGGTGCGTGCGATTCATGAACAAAGGGAAGAGAACACCGGATCTTCACTTCGAAGGTAACATACCTACCTACTTACCTACCTACTACAGCCACGAGCAACGATCAACGAGCAAGTACGCCTATATTAACTATATCACCCATCAATCTTCTATTACACAATTCTCCACCTGCGACACCACGAACCACCGGCGCCAAACCAGCAACATGTTCTTCAAGACCTTGCGCCGCACGTCCAAATCATCCGCCAGCACCACCACCACCACCACCACCACAAACACCGACCCGAACAACAAACACAGCATGGATATCACACGCATAGCCTTGGGCTCATCATCTCTCTGTAACGGCACCATTGCCTCATCGCAACCGTCATACTTCAATACCCCCGCGATTTTCATCTCGGCGCCGGTTTTAACTCCACCCAGCACGGTGGGGGAGTATGGGGGAACAAATATGGAGCAGAAGCGGGCCAAGGGTGGTGTAAATGGGACAGAAGGTGAGGAGGGGAAAGATTACCAGGAGTTTTTGGAAAAGGCGAGGAGGGAAGACGAGGAGGCCGAGAAGGCGAAGACGAGAAAAGTTAAGAAGGCCCGGGAGACAAATATGAGCCCCTGGGCGAAAAGGATGTGACAAAGGGCGCATCTCGATCAGAGAGAGGGAGAGGGAGAGGGAGATGGAAAGAAAGATCAGGGGAGGAAGATACGACCCGGCATGTAGTTGTACTACGTGGTATGTTGGGCTGCGAATTACTCGACCCCGGGACGACGCAGAGCATGCAGCTACCGGTACTACGTAGTTCTGGTTGCATCCAGGACGAGGGTGTACACCACCGGATATCAGATACTGGACAGCATATAAGCGTCCATATATTCCAGACAGCTAGTATCTTCAAGGCCGCGGCTGTGGGACCGGAACCACACACACCAACAGACAACAGATTAACACAAGACGCTTTCGAAATGGCGATGGGAGGATCATGCCAACGCCAATGCCATGTCACACAGTCGCCGTTGGGGCATATACGGCGGTATACGACGACGGTGACGATACAATTCACGACACCTCAGGACAATTTCCAACTCGGATGCCTCGCAACAAACTTTACCAGCACTTCCTTTGCGTAGTGATTTCTGGTATTTGTTTTGCTTTGCGACGTTGGCATTTGATTTGCGCTTGGGCGACTACCCTGCATATTTATTATTCTTGCTTTCCAGATCTTTGCAGAGCGCGCGAGAGGCGAGAGCGGGGGGGGGTATTGCCCGTATGGACAGGCCACTCGTATCAACAAGATCAATGGAGTCCCAAATCATCTCGATCCTCATCCTCATCCTCATCCTCATCCTGCGTTCTTCATGTACATGCAATATCTCAACCCGCACGCAATCCTTTTTGCAATGCCCTACTTCACAGAGAAATATCCTTGACGGGGATAGAAGGCGAGCGCCTTTACACAGGCTCTCTACCACAGAGGCACTCCCTCTCTCAGCTTCGTTGAATCTGATGCGGGTTGGGGAGTTGGAATGTACGTAGGTAATGGAGGGTCTCGCTCCCCCACTCGCCCCCAACCCCCAATATGAATAAAGGGCGAAAGTATATTTTTGCAAGGGCTCGAAGCAGGGCTCGAATCGATAAGCTCCGTATAGCGATTGAGCCTTGAAAAGCATCTTTAAGCAAGCCTTTAGTCTGTCCAGTACAGAGTAGAAGTGACAAGGCTTTGAGCCATTCAGAAACCACCGCCCTACGATTTTCTGGCCCTAAACTGGGTCTGCCCCTTATTCATGGGTGGGAGACTTCGATTGCCCTGCAAATCCGATTACTTGGACCCGCTCAAGCATTCTCTTCCACTGTATAAACTCGCACAGATGGGGCGCCCCCCACCACATTGAGTTCAGCGTTGGCGCTTAATCTTTAAGCACTAAGTGATCAGTGCTTACTCGCAGCAAATATTGGATATTAATTATTAATCTATCTGAAGTATCTAAAGTGACTGAGGATTTGATGCGCTGGAGTAGTGATCAGTTACTTACGTAGTACTCAAAGATTAAACGCAAACGCTGGAAAAACTCAGTGTGGTGGGGCGCGCCATCTGTCTGAGTTCAATGTTTATAAGGTATACACACTGTAAGATGACGAAGCCAAGGGAATCGAATATATTCGAAGCGAGTAAACATACTACGTATCAGCTCTATGCGGCTGCCGCTCTGAGCGGCGTCATTGGCTGTTGACCGGTCATTGGAGATCTTGCAGAGTGCTGAGATATTATCTTGAAACGTCGTCTTGTCCACTTCAGATTACATTTTCCAAGGGCAAAGGCAAGGGCAATGTGACATGCCTTCTCTCGAATCGCACGGTCGCATCTTCAATCCTGACACCAAGTCTCTTGGGTCTTCTTGGAGACGCTTACTCCAACTTCACTACGAGCTGTGGGGTAGCTTGATGACTATCATGAGATTTGAGTGAGTGATCTGACTGATATACCTATACAATGCTCGCGACCTCACTTTGATAATCTAGACTCGGTGACATGCAAAGAAATCGTCCGCATCTCAGTGCGACTCGTCGACAAACAAAAAATGCGATGAACATGGCGGCCGGCTATGAAACACTGCGCGATATCTTTTGTGGAACTCTATCTACTTGAATTTGGAGGCGATCACAATGCAAGATCGTGACGAAGGATTTCCAAGTACATGGGTCGGCTCAGGGGCTGAATTCCTCGAAAGTGATTGTATAAAGACGAACTCTAGCTGCCCTTCCACTACTGTTCTCCAGCTTGTTTCCTCAGTCTTACATTCACATTCAAAATCAAACATTAGGCTCCGGAAGCTTCAATATTTCGTTCATTATCTTACAGAACCTTCTCTCCAAATTTACAGCAAAACACATACATCAGGATGAAGCTCACTCTCTTGACTCTTGCATTGTTGGTTGCCATAGCCCAGGCTGCTCCTCTCGAAGCCAGGGCCAAGAAAACCTCGCCCGCAAAGAAACCAAAGGCCAAGTCGTCCGCAAAGAGTTCAAAGGCCACTACTGTACCTACTATCTCGACAGGCTATACCTCCTCCCCCTCCGTAAACACAGGTAGCTCCGGCTCGTCTTCCGGGTTGATCACAGAGGCTTGTAACATCGGATATGCTACGCTGAATGGAGGCACTACGGGTGGCGGCTCTGCTTCTACTACCACAGTCACTTCACTTGCGGAGCTCACAGCGTGTGCTACAAAGGCTGGGCCGGCTGTCTGCTTGATCAAGTAAGAGATCCTTTTCCTAGCAGCTGACTTCCATGAATCTTGTCAAAAGACTGACGGGAAGATAGAGGCGCGATCACTGGAAATACAGCTATCAAGGTCACGGCTGATACCACCATTGCCGGTGCTGCTGGCTCTTCCTTAACCGGCGTGGGTTTCCGCGTCTTCAAGGTCAAAAATGTCATTCTCCGCAACCTGAAGATCTCCAAGGTCTTGGCCAGTGCAGGAGACGCAATAGGTATTCAGAAAGCATCCAATGTCTGGGTCGATCATGTATGTATACATCTGTCTTTTTTGTCTCGGCGCATTATAACTGCTTCTCAATTTATTCGGGACATTGCTAACTATTCTTGAGTGTGACCTCTCCTCTGATCAGGATCACGGCAAGGACTACTACGACGGGCTCTGCGACATTACGCACGCCTCTGACTATATTACCGTCTCCAACACATACTTGCACGACCATTACAAGGCATCCCTTGTTGGGCACTCTGACAACAACGGCGCTGAGGACACTGGACACTTGATTGTTACCTACGCGAACAACTTCTTCGAGAACCTCAACTCTCGTGGCCCATCTGTCCGTTTTGGAACTGCTCATATCTACAAGTACGCTCCTCTCCAGACCTGTGTGATATGCAACAAGACTAACATTCTACCTTAGCCACTATGCTAAGACCGCTTCTACTGGTGTCAACACCCGCATTGGCGCTCAACTTCTCATCGAGTCATCTGTATTCGAGGGCGTCCCCATGGCTATACAGTCTGCGTACTCCAAGTCCGTCGGATACGCCACTGTCAAAGATGTTGACCTCGGAACCGGAACCAACACCGTCAAGGCCTCGACTCTCACCTCTGTCCCATACAAGTATACTCTTTTGGGCTCCGAGAAAGTTGCCTCTGCAGTAACTGCTACTGCGGGACAGACTCTCAAGTTTTAGGTTTTTATCTGAGACGAGGGGATAGACAGGGTCGGCTGGGTTCATCGAGCAGGCTCTTTACCGACATCTGGGTTTAATCTAACGTCAATTGACAAGTGGAATTTCTTGTATTTACTAACTTTACGCATTATTATTATTAGTTTATTACTTCTAGAATAAGTGTTACGTTGACGTACAACTCATTCTCTCCGAACAAGCTCTTGGAGATTGTCTTCAGCATAAAGTTCGATGGTTCCTGGAGCGATGGCGCACCTGCAAGTCCCTTCCTGAACATTTGTGCGACCCAGTTAAACCATAAAGCGGTGGCTTCTGAATGGCTCCAAGGCCTGCAAACTCTATCGCAATAAGTAAATACTTGCTTAAAGATACTTTTTAAGGGGAAATACAGTGGTAAATCGACGCCCCCCAAACACTACGGATGTCGACGCCACCCCCCCCTCCGGAATACTGGAAATCCCGACCCGGCAGAATGGTCCCCTAAAGTTGCGATGTCAAGTCCCAGTAATCGTCGGCTCGCTTAGGTGGGCTTCCTTACATCCTTTCAGTCGATATAAGGAGGCCCACCTAAGCGAGCCGACGATTATTGGACTTCACAGGCACAGTGATGTACAGAGTAGGTAACACTCCGCAGTAACGGTCAGCAATCGCGATTGCTCATACAGTCTGTATTCTATTATTTCCTTCTCAATAGTCATGCCATAGCCTCTTGTTCTAGCCCAATTGTTGATATCCACCAGGGCTTCCTCTCGAGTTAAGGGTTTTTTTTTTTTTGATAGCGAGGTCGTAGGCGCTGATATCGAATCTTGCACGCGTAGATCTGAGATCTACAAGCGTATCTCTACGACCGGGCTCTTCCTCATGCTCAGGCTCCTTCACAGGCTCCTCTGCAAGCTCTACAGGCTCGACCGCAGACCCAGACTCTTTTACACGCTCCGCAGACTCAATTATACCCTCGCTGTTCTACTGGCGTATGTTGCTACTAGGATGGGGAATAGCATGGGGGTGCTTAAGCTTCTTGGAGCTCTGATCGGAGCGCGGGGGTTTTGAGGCAATTGAGCATCTTCCGCTTGCAATGTCGAGACTCGTGGTCCAAAAATAAATCTAGGGTCCAGATTTTGAAATGCAGGGGAAGTTATACTACGTATGTGATAATTTTACCCCTGGTCGGAGGACTAATCAGAGGCAGGGGTTGCGGCTCCTAATGCTCTTCAGCGATACGCTCAATTTTCAGCGATACGCTCAATAAGTTCGTGATTTTCCTTTCACTCTCGATTAATTAGTAAAACTATGATTAAATTCAATACCGAAGCAGAAAATATAACCGCCAAAGCTATAGCTTATAGTAAATCTAATCCTTACGTTGAGCCGAGCACATTGACTGTTAAATTCATCGTTCTTCTTCGTCAATTTAACGCGAGATTTGAAAGCCGGAAATCATCCACATATTATAAATAAAGGCTCAAAAAACGCATTACCGTGTATATAAATAGTAAGCTTAAGTAAGTTTACTTCTATTTTTAATACTTATGAACTGTCTAATAAAAAAGTTTTATGCGCGTGCTATAATAAATTGATTATTATGCGTTGCGCAACTATCTTATAAGTAAAGATACAAGGCTTTTGAATTAACCGGTGCACTCAAAAGGACACGAATCTATAATTATTACGTTAAGCTACTGAAACTGGAAAGCAATATCGATTCGAAGCTAGCGATTACGATTTGCGATTAATAGATTAGCGGAAAGATTAAGCCTTTTCGATGCTCGAGCAAGAAAGATTCGAGGGAAAAAAAAAAAAAAAACGCTAAATTGAAAAGCTATATCGATACGGTTAATGGAATCATCGCTTACTGTTACGGCTGAGGAAAGGTAATATTATAATAGCTATCAGTTTATACGCTATATAATATAAAAACAAAGACGAAGAAGGAAAGAATTATAGTACAAGAGGGCCGAGAAGCCTTGTACCGTAGGGCGGCCGCTAGCCTCGGCTGACTAATTCAACTCCAACCTTTTGCCAGGACCGTAATCGTCGGCTCGCTTAGGTGGGCCTCCTTTCATTCTTTCAGTCTTAGTCGGTATAAGCGACTGCGGATCGGAAGCGAGTGCGGATTTTTCGAATGTGTTAGAAATTCTTATATATTATAGCAATTATTATTACAATTAAAGAATATTTATATGAATAATTAATCTACGATTATATCTTCTTCCGAAACATTTAAAATTGTATCATCTGATAAAACATTTGACTATCGATTGCTATTTTTATTAGAATTTGATTCGTCTTTTACTTTACGCAACGAATCGTTTGAATTTCTATTACTATTGAAATTGAAGCTATCGTTATCGATATTGATATTAAAAAAAGGAAAAACATCTTGCTTTAAAAAAGGGTCTTTAATAATATCGATTATAATTATTAAATCATCGTTATCGAGAAAAGGTTCAAGTTGAAAGAGAGTGTTGGTCGAAGAATGCCTTTTTTACGAGGCCGTAAAATTTGACGCTTAAAAGGTTGTTGCATCTATCAAATCTCTTTCGAATCGAGAATTGGAATAAGTATCATATCGTCGTCTTTAATAATTAAACTTGCAGCAAAGCGTTTTAATATAATCCTTTTACGCTCGCGCTTAGCTGTTCGTAAATCGACTTTTTTACGATATTCAGTATCTTTTTTTTTAAAAAAAAAAATATAATCGACGATTCGTTGTTGTTTTGCAACAAATTCAGCAATAGGTTCAAGATTTTCTTTAGCTTGCTTCTTAGCAGCAAGCTTTTTACCGATTGATAATACGATTTTAAATAATTCGAAAAAAGGTATACTCGTAAATTAATTATTTATATAACTATTTTTTAATTAATTATAATAATAATTGCTATAATATAGAAGAATTTCTAATACATCCGAAAAATCCGCACTCGCTTTCAATCGGCAGTCGCTTATACCGACTAAGATTAAAAGGATGAAAGGAAGCCCACCTAAGCGAGCCGACGATTAATGCTACCTCTTCTTTCCGAAGAACTGCGCCCTCGCAATTCCAAGGATAAGTCGGTCGTTTTCTAGACTTGAAAAATTATCTTCACCTTTTGTTGTGCGGAGCGGAACAGCACATGCCTTAGGCTCCGCCCAAGCTGGCCAAATGGAGCAGCTACGTAAGCTGTATGAAGGGCTACGATTCTTTACTTGTACAAGGTGCCCCTTACGAACCTTCAGCTCTTTTTCTTTCTTTCTCTTGCGTTAGAAAAAGAGATAAAGAATCTGGAAAGCCGAAATTAAATCATCGATATACGACGTCTTTTCGAAAAGATCTTTTTTTTACCGGCGATTCCGAACTTTTTTTCTTTTTCTTTTCGAAGACTGTGACGATACGCCAGGTCTCCTGGACGTATCCTTATATGCGCCAAGACCTCTTTTCTTTTTCCTTACCTTGTATCTTTTCCTTCGTATTCTTCGTATTCTCTCATTCCCTTCTTTTGACTCATAAACCATAGTTTACGAGTCTTTGGCGCTCTTACCTTCGTATATATAAACCCTAGCTACCTTCGACCTTTATACTTAGTAGTTATTGATTCTAAGTTATCAATTTAAGATCCTCTTAAGCTTTTATATAAACCTTGCGCTCTTGTAAGTTCCTTTAAGTAATCGCTTAAAGTCGTTATATTATTAACTGTTGGTTTGCCGGTAAAAATAAACGTCAATTGAATAAAGCTTCTTCTGTGTATTGCAACAAGTAACAAAATAGAGTCTTTTTCAGTACTGAAGGTTGGTCTTGATGATTATTGATTGATTTTAACTACCTAAAAACCAACTCTTACAAAAGTATCTTTATTCTTACCAACTAGATCAAAGGGTGAATAAAGATCGAAAGTTGTAGCTCCGAAGGGGCTGTGTAAACGGGAGTTGAGGCTCCGAGACAATACTTTTAAGAGTATCTTTTTCGCGTAGCTCGGAAAATACCAAAGAGGTAATTACTAAGGTAAGTAATCAATCGATCTCTACCTCTTTAACTCGTAACCATTTATCAATTAAGTCATTAACTTAGAGTTCAATAAATGACGAACCGACACCGGCAACTTTTTTTTTAGTAAGTGATTACTTATTAACTACTTATTAAACTAAGTAAAAAACAATCAACTAAATGCTTGCAAACAAGCGTGCTTAACTATCGAAAATAATAATAAAAATTCTATTCAATCTGCTTGCTTAATAGCAAGTTCACATAGCCGGCCTTTTTACTTATCTTTTTACCTTGATTTTCACTCGATTCGTAAAGATAAGTTCTTAAAGTGAAGAATTAGAACTAATCTTAATTATAGCGTCGGCCGAGTTATTCTTGCTACTTATTTGACGCACTTTAAAAAGCTTTCGTCTCCTATATGATTCCCTTATCGCTATAATATCGATCATCAGCTTCTTTTCTTTTATAATCTTAAGTTTAACGAAGCATTCGTATAACGAATACGAGTCCGTGCAAACTATAATTAAGAAGTTAAGCATTTTTAATTGCTTAATAATCAACTTAAAAATCGTCGACATAGCAATAGCTATATTTAAGCTAAGTGATATAATATATAGCTCGAAAGCTAATATTGCTTTTATCACTTTTTTATACTTTTGAGACACTTAATATAAGATGTTGCCGGTAAGTATAAACTAGGCTGCTCCATGGGGCCCCTTAGGGCCCCACGGAGTTTTGAGTCCTCCTTACGGGAGAACTCACGAGAAGTATAAAATTCTCCCTTCTTCATAAGGAAACCTTATAAAGCATAAGGTTACCTTATAAGGTTTATATATATAAAAATATGCATATGCATAATTAGTAATCAAGGTTACTAATTAAATTTATTAATTACATTTACTAATCAAATTTACTAATCATATTTATTAATTAGATTTACTAATTAAATTTATTAATTACATTTACTGATTAGATTTACTAATCACATTTACTAATTTTATTTACTAATCAGGTTATTAAGCGAAGCGCCATTTTCTTTATC